TGCAGAGCAGCAAGACCCATGGGATTTCATCAGCCACTCACCATCAGAGTCCTCAGTGGAAGCTGAGAAGAGCAGAAGAGGAAGCCAAGCAAGAGATGCCAGAAAAAAAGGGGGAAGGAAATAATGTGTTATTTTGCTGTTTGAGTATAGGCAGGCGCAGTGGGTAGCACAATCGCCTCACAGCAAGAAGGTCGCTGGTTCGAGCCTCGGCTGGGTCAGTTGGCATTTCTGTGTGGAGTTTGCATGTTCTCCCCATGTTAGCGTGGGTTTCCTCCGGGTGCTCCCACAAGTCCAAAAATATGTGGTGACATTGGGTAAGGTAAAATTGTCCGTAGTGTATGTGTGTGAATGAGTATGTATGGATGTTTCCCAGTGATGGGTTGCAGCTGGGTGGCAACACGGTGGCACAGTAGGTAGTGCTGTTTCCTCACATCAAGAAGGTTTCTGCATGGAGTTCTCCCTGCGTTCGCGTGGGTTTCCTCCGGGTGCTCCGGTTTCCCTCACAGTCCAAAGACATGCGGTACAGGTGAATTGGGTAGACTAAATTGTCCGTAGTGAATGCGTGTGAGTGAGTGTGTATGGATGTTTCCCAGAGATGGGTTGCAGCTGGAAGGGCATCCACTGCGTAAAACGTATGCTGGATAAGATGGTGGTTTATTCCACTGTGGCGACCCCAGATTAACAAAAGGACAAAGCCGAAGAGAAAATGAATGAGTATAGGCAATGATAGACAAGACAATGTTTGATTAATATGAAGTCTTTTAAAATGCTTATTTATTAAAATAAAGGTTACAAAGTAAAGAAGAAATATATTGTGTGTTTGTATATTTATTTCACTGCCTTTAAGATTTTACATTGTAAACTAAAGGGAACAAGGGGGGAACAAATGTTGTATTTACCCTTTAACTACAGGTAACAAGAGAGGAACAAAGCTTCACTTTAATTTACAACCCTCAAATGTGGTATTTACCCTGTAAGTACAGGAAACAAGGAGGTAACAAGAGAGGAACAAAGCTTCACTTTAATTTACAACCCTCAAATGTGGTATTTACCCTGTAAGTACAGGGAACAAGGAGGTAACAAGAGAGGAACAAAGCTTCACTTTAATTTACAACCCTCAAATGTGGTATTTACCCTGTAAGTACAGGTAACAAGGAGGTAACAAGAGAGGAACAAAGCTTCACTTTAATTTACAACCCTCAAATGTGGTATTTACCCTGTAAGTACAGGGAACAAGGAGGTAACAAGAGAGGAACAAAGCTTCACTTTAATTTACAACCCTCAAATGTGGTATTTACCCTGTAAGTACAGGTAACAAGGAGGTAACAAGAGAGGAACAAAGCTTCACTTTAATTTACAACCCTCAAATGTGGTATTTACCCTGTAAGTACAGGGAACAAGGAGGTAACAAGAGAGGAACAAAGCTTCACTTTAATTTACAACCCTCAAATGTGGTATTTACCCTGTAAGTACAGGGAACAAGGAGGTAACAAATACTGTATTTACCCTTTAACTACAGGGAACAAAGAGGGAAGAAGCTGAACTTTAACATACTAGTGTATACTTGAACACTAAGTACAGAGTAAACTACAGCAGCGGTTTTTATTGATTGAAGACCAAATTACTAGATTTTTCTATAAAGCATCAGCTATACATTTACTGAAATGCAACAGTTAGCCCCCCTGTGCAACAGCAGTAAAGATGCGAGCCTGTTTTAATCTGCATTGAACCCTGACGGTAGGCCTATGTCATGCAAAGTTATTTGTTGATAGTGAGTTATGGAGACATTGATGGCTTTGGTGAGATCGACGAGTAAACATAAGGTAAGTAGTGTATGGAAATATATTTTATATTGAATTGCAGATTTAAAATACATACAGTATACAATAAGGGTTCATAATTTCACAGGTTGTAAACCTTTTATTCATTAAACACCCCATATAAAACCCAAGCACTGAATAAGAGTACTAATGTACTCACGCAGGTGCATATACAGTACATTTGCAGATAGCAATAGGTTGTCACCATCCTTGCATAATTCTTTATATGTATACAATACTTGAAGAAATGTACATCGTAAACTTAATATACTTCTTTGCGTGATGGATATCTTATTGTTACTCCCCTTTTACGCAAACATTATGGTTTGTTCTTTTGCAATTTAAAGAAAAGTACAACCTTATTTCACTGTACTTACGCGGTACATTTTATGCTAAATATCTGGTTGTTATCCCCTTATTACCCGAGCATTACAGTTTGTTCCCTTATACTTACGTAAACGTTATTTATACTTACACTATAGGTACAGAAAAGTACACGGTTATTTCACTGTACTTACGCGGTGATTTTCGTGATGAACATCTGGTTGTTACCCCCTTTTTACCCAAGCATTACGGTTTGTTCCCTTATACCTACACATACGTTCATTATACTTACACAGTACGTACAGAAAAGTGCACTGTAATTTCACTGTACTTACGCGGTACTTTGCGGGTTGTAAAAGAAAGCGTTACCAACCAATCATCTCCTAGCTCAGTAAACTGGCTTTAGGTTTGATATTCGCGCACGCAGTTTTAGGGATCATCTGCAAATTACATTGACAGAACCTAAAGGGGCTTTAGCTGATGTGTACTGTATGCTTATGACAAGAGCTATTGCCTATTTTTGCATTGTATGTACCATATAGTTAGAGGTATAGTAGCCTTGCTACCTGTATTAAATCAGTCTGGCCTCTAACCATTTATTGGAATCTTCTAGAATTTTTTTTTTCTGCTTTGCGTTACTGTGCGTTTTGGTTCTGTTGATTCCACTGTTTTGAAAGGTCTAATAAATAATCTGAATGGTGTTTTGAGCTGAAACTTTACAGAGACACAAAAGACTTATATTAAATCTTGAAAAAGATGTAAAATAGATCCCCTTTAACTGAAGTCAACTAGCATGCATTTTAATTTTAATAATTCATTAGTAAATGTTGAACCATGATTAATAAATGCTGTACAAGTAGTTTTCATTAATGCTTTACGTTAGTAAATATGTTAACTAACATTAATGAAAACGTATTGTAAAGTGTGAACAAAATAGCTTTACAGAAAGCTTACAGTGATGTCTGATAGGTTGTTAGGTTTAGATTAGATTGCATTTCTTACTTAAATATTAAAATATACAAAAATATTAAATGAAGAAGCTTTTTCAGGACAAACAAACTATTGTCTTGTTTTAAGAAATATGTCCCCATGGTTCTTCCTTAAAACAAGCAAAACATTCACAATTAACAATTATGGATATTTATACTAGAAACAAGACAAAAAGTCTTTATTTTTTTTGCAGTGAGGGGAAAAAGCAATCAAAAACTGATTTTGACTAATAGAAAGACAACAGTTTGCAGATATCTCTGAACACATACAGTACAGGGATGGATAGACGGCTTAACCATTAGGCAAAGGTAAAAAATTGCTCTGAGCTAAGACCCCCACCCCCAAAAAAACTACTAAAGATAAAGCAAAAGGGTAGATAAGGGTAAATGATTGCTAAATTTGCAGCAGAAAAGGGTAACTTTGTCTAGATTAACTGTTTAGATGTGCTAGAAGTGTAGCACGCTCAGGACATTTGCTGGTTAAAAGTGGCAACTACAACAAGATTAACAAAATCTGAAACATGTGCATGGATTTAGGATAAATTGTTATTGTTCGCTGATCATTAGTAAAACAGAAAATTGATATTAAAATTGATATCAATGTCCATACACACTCATTCGCTACGGCCAATTTAGTTTATTTAATTCACCTAAAGCGCATGGGGGAAACTTTAGCACCCGAATGAAATCCGCGCAAACACTGGGAGAACATGCAAACTCCACACAAAAATGCCAGCTGGCCCAGCTGGGACTCAAACCAGTGACTTTCATGCTGTGAGGCGACAGTGCTAACCACTGAGCCACTGTCGTCTTTAAATTTAGTTTATTAATTTGACATTATCTGGGTGCCATCAACAAGCATTCTTCAAAACATCTTCTTTTGCGGTCAACAGTTGAAAAAACAACATAAAGGTTTTAAAACACATGAGGGAGAGTAAACGATGAGGTACTTTTCATTTTTGGGTAAACTTTCCCCTCTATACAATACCCTTAATTCAAGATGTCATTAGGGGGGCTCACCATTAAAAGTGATGAAAGAATCCAGGCTGACCTCTTGTGGTGAGTTTAGGTAATATACAATAAATAACAATATTTTATTTAGTCCAAAATCAAAGTTAATGCTACATGCTAACGTATTGATTTCATGTTAAAAATTCTTCTGGGATAATATAATATATATTTAAGCCAAATGCTTGAAAAGCCTTTATCGTGTTTCCCTGAAAGTATTCAGCAATGAAATGAGTTTATCTGCAAAATGCAGCATTTTAGCTGGACTTTAGCCATGAGTGTTTCACAAAATTTCCATATAAACAACAAGGAAGTCAATGATTACAGGTTCCCAGCTTTCTTCAAAGTATCTTCTTTTATACAGGTTTGTGAAGAGTGAGTACATAAGGAAATGTTCAGTATTAGGTGAAATCTTTAAGTTTAAGTGAAGAGTAGTGGAACAGTTAAGTTTGGAACTCCTAGTCCGTTATGTTTTCTCACTTTCCTTCTGTATATGTACATACACTCTAGAAAATGTTCCACACAATTCCTTCATGTTGTCCCAGCACAAATCAATTAAGTTAACTTAATTGTTTTGACACATTTCAGTAGATTGAATATAAAACAATTAAGTTGTCCCAAAAAACCCTCAAGAATTATGTTGATTAAGCTCATTTTAAATAAGTAGTTTGAACAAGCAGCAGATAAGTGTATGATGATGCAAAGACTTAATGATGATGTAAATGCTAGTTTTTTTCATATTTTATTTATTTTTCTCTAGTTTGAAAAATTGCTTGACCAGTTGTTTTAAAGACCACCATAATTGTGTAATCATATACTATTGTAAATGGTTGTGACAATGAAGATGATGCAACTGATTGATGCTTGCCATTTGATACTTTTATTAAAAGATTTATGGAAGAATGAAAAAAATAAACATCTCAAGATTATTTCTTTTTTTCAAACATTTCCAGTTATGTTGTGGATCCATAGGAGATATGCTGAAATCCTAGTATACACGTTAGGAAACAAACGTGAATTACAGAGATAACGGTCACCGAAGGAAGTGATACCAACAGCAGTGTTATTACAAACCAAAGGACCTCCAGAATCCCCCTGTAAAAACACAGATCAACACGTCACTGGTGGAATTAGTTCAAACATTAACATAAAGTCTGATTCATATTTCATACGTACACTGCAGGTTCCACCATGGCCATAAGCACAGATCATCTTTGAAGCCTTGTAAGTATTGTTCCATCTGCGTTCACACTCTGCATCATTCACAATAACTGTCTCTGCCTTTCTTAGACGATCTGGTCTTGGGCCTTTTAACCACAGTCTTCCCCAACCAGCAACACTACAGAGAGTATCTGCTTTAACATCTTCTCCATCCTTTGGTAGTGACATCAGTCCAACATTGTGGCTCAGTCTGACTTTTTTATTTAGCTGTAATGCAAAACATTATTATTTATTGTGAACTTATTGGTAACACTTTACAATAGAGGTGTACTAATATGCATTAAATTATGCTTAGCTTATATGATCTGTTCTGTCTTATCCAGACTTTTTACATTGAGTTAGTGTTAATCTGGTATTTAGCGACCTCTTTTGGTTATACATGGGTATTACATTTTATGTTATAGTCCTTATTTCATGACATCATAAATGTGAGCCTATGCATTCAGAAGCCGCATGGAAGAGCAAACGGCTGTAGTTTCATTTGCTCCCTTATACAAGTTGTACTGAAGGCACATTCGGTATGTAGACATTATTTTATCATAATTTGAGTTATATTTGTTTATGTTTACGCTATAAGCATGTTATTATGCATGCAAGATGTTTATTGTGTTCTTTATTTTGGTCAATTGCAATATGTGACTACATATATGATTCAGCTAAGTGCGTAAACAGTGACCTATTGTGCATAGAGTGCAGATTGTGCTTGTTTAATTTACATATTATTGATTCAGAGTACTTACCATTCTGTATTTTGTATGTTTTGCAGTTTTACGTTATTCCATAATCTACAGTAAAAGGTTCAAACTTATGCCTTGAGTCTGTTGTCATTGGAAGACGTTATCTCTCTGTCGAATCAAGCAAGGCGTTTGATATAAGGGGCAGAACAGTAAAACGAATATCTTCAGCAATCAGCTTCTAGTTTATGACTCCACGGCGGGGAGCAAGTCAGCTCATGAGGTGATTCTCTCAACAATGTCCAAGCCAAGCTCCAAAGCTGGATCACAGAAGCGAGCAGCAAGCTCATCACGCTCGTCACGCCACTCACATGGCTCATCAGCTGTAATCACCGCTGCTGCAATGGCACGAGCAGAGGCTGAAGCGGTTAAAGCAGAAATAACTTTTGCTAAGAAAGAAAGTGAACTAAAAGTACAACAAGCCCAGTTGGAAGCATCATTAGAGACTTTAAGACAGGAAAAGAAAGCTGCTGCCATACAAGCGAAAGCAGAGGCTTTAGAAACGGCGGCAGAATTAGAAAGCAGAGGGCAATCAAGTTTGTCAGAGCTGCCTATAGAGGATGCAACAGAACGCACACAGGCCTATGTATCAGAACAGATGGAGAGTGATGTGGATGCAGAGGCGCCAGTCCCGGACGGACCGTTTTATGATAAGGAAAGCATACCTTTTTCAGAAATGCAACAACCACAGAATACTGTATCGTATTTGCAACAGGAAAAGCAGTGTACTTCATATGCCACGCCGCCCAGATCTCAGCCTAGTAATGCAGAGAACATACAGAACCCTGCCATTTCACAGTCTACCAGCGTACGCTTCACAATTTCTGGTCAACGAAAGGCATTCACCCAGTCACCTCACAATGTTTATCATCCAGAAGCCCAGTCTCCAGCTGTTCAAGGTAGTGAGGAAAGGAGCAGACATAGAGGGACGCCACTGAGTTATTCTCAGACAATGTCAGGTACCCCCTTGTACGCTGGACCTCATCAAAGTAATTTGTATGCGGACAGTCAAATCTCAGACGTGGTCAGGTTTATTGCAAGACGTGATTTGGTGTCTACTGGCCTTACGCAGTTTAACGACCAACCGGAAACCTTCAGAGCATGGAGAGCATCCTTCATAAATGCTACAGAAGACCTTAACATTTCACCAAGTGAAGAAATGGACTTGCTAGTAAGATGGCTGGGGCGCGAGTCAGCAGAGCATGCAAAACGTATTAGAGCTGTCCACATTAACTATCCATTACAAGGGCTCAGTATGATTTGGAAAAGACTTTACGAATTATATGGCGCACCAGAAATGGTTGAGAGCTCACTCTTCAGGAGACTGGAGAACTTCCCCAAAATATCAAACAGAGACAATTGCAGACTACGTGAGCTAAGTGATTTGCTCATGGAGATCCAAGCAGCTATGCAGGATGGCGATCTGATGGGTCTTACCTATCTAGACACACCACGAGGAGTAAACCCAATAATACAGAAATTGCCATTCAGCTTACAAGAGAAGTGGCTCACGGTGGGGTCTAAATACAAAGAGGATTACAGGGTTTCCTTTCCACCCTTTAAGTTCCTAGTAGACTTTGTATGTCAGCAAGCAAAAATGCGCAATGATCCAAGTTTCTCCCTTACAGCCATACACGAAGAGTCTCACAGACCAAACAAACAGTTAAACAAACATGTCTTTCCCAGAGCTGTTGTGACACACAAGACTCAGGTTTCTTCTGGGAGTCCATTAGCTGCGAGTGAACTCAAAAATAAGATAAACCCAGCGAAACAATGCTTTTTGCATGATAAGCCTCATCCCCTGTCCAGATGTAGAGGATTAAGGATGAAACCTATGGAGGAAAGGAAATCATTGCTTAAACAGCAAGGAATATGCTTCAAATGTTGCAGTTCCATTTTACACATGGCAAAGAACTGTGACGAGGACATCAAATGTTCAGAATGTGGCAGCAGTACCCACATAGCAGCACTTCATCCAGGACCAGCACCCTGGACGACTGATCCAAAACAACCCGTAGCTGAAAATCAGAAAGTGAGTGAAGACATTCCTGTGGAAACAGAGGTCTCCTCAGCGTGTACGGAAATATGTGGAAACAGTCAACTTCCTCGTTCCTGCTCGAAGGTCTGTCTTGTGAATGTCTTTCCGAAAAACCATCCAGAAAAAGCAGTTAAAGCATATGTCATACTAGATGATCAAAGCAACAGATCGCTCGCAAGATCAGAATTCTTTGATCTGTTCAGCATTACAGAACGCAGCATAGCTTATACCCTCAAAACATGCGCAGGTACGATAGAAACTGAAGGCAGGATAGCTCAAGGCTTTCAAGTGGAATCTCTAGATGGAGGCTTGACCTTATCCTTACCTGCTCTTCTCGAGTGCAACGAAATCCCAGACAACCGCTCAGAAATTCCTACTCCAGAAGTGATTAGTAAGCACAGGCACTTAAAACATCTTGCTAGGTACATTCCAGAACCCAACCATCATGCCCCCATTCTATTTCTGTTAGGCAGAGACATTATCAGAGTCCACAAAGCCCATAGGCAAGTGAATGGTCCACCAAATGCCCCCTTTGCACAAAAGTTAGATTTAGGGTGGGTAATTATTGGAGACATGTGCCTCGGGAAAGTTCATAAACCTACTTTCGTCCAAGCTTATCACACGAACATTCTAGACAATGGTCAGTCGACACACTTTCAGCCATGTCCTAACAACTACAACATAAAAGAAAGATCCCAAAGTGTCTCTCTCACCAAGCCTCTGATCAGGGAGAACACTCAAAGACTGACAGAGTGGGACGTATTTCAGAAAACAAAAGACGACGAGAAAACAGCACCATCTATCGAGGACAAGCTATTTCTTCAGATCATGGACAGAGAAGTCTACAAAGACGATGAAAATTCATGGGTTGCCCCACTCCCATTCAAAGAGCCAAGACAACTTCTGCCGAACAACCGTCCACAAGCAGTGGAACGCCTTAAGTCACTTCTGCGATCTTTCAGAAGGAAACCAGAGATCAAAAGGGACTTTGTAGCCTTTATGGAAAAGCTGTTTGAAAATGATCATGCAGAGATAGCTCCATCAGTCAGACCAAATGAACAGTGTTGGTATTTGCCTTCCTTCGGGGTATACCATCCTAAAAAGCCATCCCAAATGCGAGTAGTCTTCGACTCAAGTGCTCTCTATAAAGGTGTATCACTGAATAAGGTCCTCTTGACAGGTCCGGACCTCAATAACAGTCTCCTCGGAGTCCTCATGCGGTTTCGTAAAGAGCCCGTCGCTTTCATGGTGGACATACAACAAATGTTCCACTGCTTCAGAGTTCGGCCTGCAGACAGGAACTACCTCAGGTTTCTTTGGTTCCATGAAAATAACCCAGAAAACGAGCTCACCGAATACAGTATGAAGGTACATGTGTTCGGCAACAGTCCATCTCCGGCAGTGGCTATCTACTGTCTTCGCTGTGCAGCTCAAGAAGGAGAAACCGATTTCGGTGAAGATGCCAGACAGTTCGTAGAGGAAGACTTTTATATGGATGACGGACTGAAGTCTTTACCCTCACCAGAAATGGCCATAAGCTTGCTAAAAAGGACACAAGACATGCTGGCTGGATCTAACTTGAAGTTACACAAATTGGCTTCAAACAGTAAGAAAGTCATGCAAGCGTTTTCATCTGAGGATTATGCCAACTCACTGAAAGAACTGGATTTAGGTGTTAATTCACTTCCTATGCAGCGCACTCTCGGCTTACTGTGGAATTTGGAGACAGACTGTTTCAACTTCCAAGTGCAAAGTGACAATAGACCATACACTAGACGTGGACTGTTATCAGTGGTAAACAGTTTGTATGACCCACTTGGATTTGTGGCCCCTATAACAGTTCAGGGCAAGTTATTACTGAGAGAATTGACTGCAAACGCTACTGACTGGGACTCACCCTTACCTGCGAGCGGTCAGGAGCTGTGGGATTCATGGAAAAACTCTCTGCAAGAGTTACAACATATACAAGTCCCAAGGAGCTATGGACTCGTATCACCATCAGGTGCCAAGTTCACAGAGCTTTCTGTGTTTTCAGATGCTTCCGAGAAGATAATCGCCGCTGTCGCTTACCTAAAAACAGTCGATTCGAATGGTAATTGCCATGCAGGATTCATCACAGGCAAAGCAAGATTAGCGCCACTTCCAGAGCTCTCCATACCACGCCTAGAACTATGTGCGGCTGTGTTGTCTGTAAACATGATGGAAACGATCATTGCAGAAATTGCTATCAGGTTTGACGAGATAAACCTCTACACAGATAGTCGAGTTGTTCTCAGCTATATCTGCAACGAGAAACGTAGATTTCATGTCTACGTAAGCAACCGTGTACAAAGGATTCGGAGTAGGACTAAGCCAGAGCAGTGGCATTATGTGAGCTCAGATCACAACCCTGCGGACATTGCGACACGACCGATAACTCCAACTAAATTGCAAGACACGATTTGGTTCAGTGGACCTGCATTTTTGCATCAACTGAAAACGGAGACTGTACCTAAAGCACCCTTTCCACTTGTTGATCCTGATCGAGATGTAGAAGTTCGCACGCATATGACACTGTCAAATACCTCATTCTCCAGGCGTTTTGAACGTTTTTCTGTCTGGAACCGCTTAATCAGAGCTATTGGCAAGTTGATTCACATTGCACACTCCTATAAGCCAGATCAAAAAGGTCACACTCCAGCGTGCAAAGGTTGGCACTGTTGCAAACTGCCCCCGAGTGCCGATACAATAATTCAGAGCACAAAAGTTGTCATTCGTGCAATACAACAGGAAACATACACGGATGAGTTGCAGTGCCTAAAACAGAACAAACCCCTTCCTAAAACAAGTACTCCTTGAAAACTAGACCCCTTTGTTGATCAAAGCGGACTGTTGAGAATTGGTGGTCGCCTGATCAAAGCGGATCTAAGCTCTGAAGAAAAGAGGCCTCTCATCATACCAGGCAAGAGCCATGTAGCCTTACTCCTGATACGGCACTTTCATGAGCGAACACATCATCAAGGCCGCCACTTTACAGAGGGTGCAATAAGATCTGCGGGCTACTGGATAATAGGAGGCAAAAAACGCATTAGCAGTCTTATCCATACCTGTGTTGTATGTCGTAAACTCAGGAGGGGCTGTGAAACTCAAAAGATGGCAGATCTGCCCAAAGACCGGCTCAGTGCAGAGCCTCCCTTCACACATGTGGGACTGGATGTGTTTGGCCCTTGGTCGGTATGTGCTCGAAGGACAAGAGGTGGGTTTGCAGAAAGCAAAAGATGGGCAGTGCTGTTCACGTGTCTAAACATCAGAGCTATCCACATAGAAGTGATCGAGTCCTTAACTACTTCCAGCTTCATTAATGCCTTAAGGAGGTTTTTGGCAATCCGAGGTCCAGTAAAACAGATTCGCTCGGATAGAGGAACCAATTTCATTGGAGCTTGTAAAGACCTGCAAATACCATCTAACGTGGATGAAAAGGCAGTGGAACGATTTCTGTCAGACCATAATTGCACATGGACATTCAACCCCCCTCATTCATCGCACATGGGTGGCACATGGGAGAGGATAATCGGACTTACCCGCAAAATCTTGGATTCCATGCTTCTCCAGACGTCATCCTCCAGGCTTACACATGAGGTACTCTCTACCTTTATGGCTGAAGTCACTGTCATTATAAACAACAGACCTTTGATACCAGTGTCAACTGATCCAGCGGATCCCTTTATCTTGACACCTGCTACCCTACTTACCCAAAAGTCCAGTACCGACTTAGTTCCACCCGAGAACTGTGAAAAGCCTGACCTATACAAACAGTGGCGTATGGTGCAAAATCTTGCAAGTACCTTTTGGGACAGATGGCGAAAACAGTACCTTGCAACACTACAGTATAGGCGAAAATGGCAACATCAACAAACAAACATCCCCAAAGGAAGCATAGTCCTGCTCAAAGACTCTCAGTCCAAACGAAATGACTGGCCGCTGGGAATTATAACAGAAACTTACCCCAGTCAAGATGGACGAGTCAGAAAAATCCAAGTAAAAATCATTGGAAAAGATGGACCCAAGTTGTTCCTCAGACTAATAAATGAGGTCGTACTCCTTCTTCAAGAGAACTCTTAATAGACTGCTCAAGACTTCAAGAAAGGTTTGGCATTCAAGGAATACCAGACGGGGAGTGTTCTGTCTTATCCAGACTTTTTACATTGAGTTAGTGTTAATCTGGTATTTAGCGACCTCTTTTGGTTATACATGGGTATTACATTTTATGTTATAGTCCTTATTTCATGACATCATAAATGTGAGCCTATGCATTCAGAAGCCGCATGGAAGAGCAAACGGCTGTAGTTTCATTTGCTCCCTTATACAAGTTGTACTGAAGGCACATTCGGTATGTAGACATTATTTTATCATAATTTGAGTTATATTTGTTTATGTTTACGCTATAAGCATGTTATTATGCATGCAAGATGTTTATTGTGTTCTTTATTTTGGTCAATTGCAATATGTGACTACATATATGATTCAGCTAAGTGCGTAAACAGTGACCTATTGTGCATAGAGTGCAGATTGTGCTTGTTTAATTTACATATTATTGATCCAGAGTACTTACCATTCTGTATTTTGTATGTTTTGCAGTTTTACGTTATTCCATAATCTACAGTAAAAGGTTCAAACTTATGCCTTGAGTCTGTTGTCATTGGAAGACGTTATCTCTCTGTCGAATCAAGCAAGGCGTTTGATATAAGGGGCAGAACATGATCATTAGTTCAACTGATTATTACTGTATGAGCAACAAATTAATATTCTATATGATTCCTACGTTAATTAATCAATAATATGGTATTAGTTCATTCGATCAGCCTTTATTTATGTAGCATCTTACTACAACCAAGGTTGACCAAAGTGCTTTACACCAGTAAACACAAGTTATACAACACAACTAAAAAGCAGACCTGCGGGACTACGTTTCCACAAGAGCCTGGGTTGACAATATGTGTGAGTGCTCTGCATTAAAAGCCAATTTGAACAAGAGGGTCTTAAGCTTGGCTTAAATGAGTTAAGCGAGTCATGAGTTGTTAGTTAAACGAGTTGTAAGGTATTAGTTCCCTAATAACATATTATATGAACTAATTATGTAAATGCTGTCTGTAGTCAAAGTTATGCACTTCCACTTCCAGTTGTCTGCTTTTATTTAGTTAATCATTAGACAATGATTCACAAAGGTTTAATAACTGTATGACTTGTTCTGGCTCAGGACTGTTAACTAATTGTTTGTATACTGTAAGTAGTTATTTGCTATTATTTAGTTGCAAATCATTAGAAAAGGAACTGCATGGTGTCGATATGTTGTGGTAATTAACACATTTACACTATTGGTTATTAAATAAACTATACGCTATTAGAGTTAACAGTTTATCGATTACTTAATATATGAATAATAAAGAGTATTCATTTGATGCGCATGCTGTAATCATTAATAAATGGTTTAGTTTTCATGAATTATATCTTAACTTTTGATTATCTGTGCATTAGCTAAACATTATCTAATCTATATCAGTGGACCAGTAATCGTTCATTCATTTTCTTTTAGGCGTAGTCCTTTTATTTTTTGGGTTTTTTTTATTTTTATTTTTTTTATTAATAAAATAAAATTTTATTTTAAAAATTTTATTTTTTATTTTATTTTATTTTATTTTATTTTTTATTTTATTTTATTTTTTATTTTAAAAATTTTCTTTTCTTTTATTAATCTGGGGTTGCCACGGCGGAGTGAACCGCCAACTTATCAAGCATATGTTTTACACAGCGGGTGCCCTTCCAACCGCAACCCATCACTGGGAAACCCATACTCAACACTCAATTGCACACATACATACACTATGGACAAATTGGCTTACCCAATTCACATATACTGCATGTCTTTGGACTTGTAGGGGGAAACCGGAGCACCTGGAGGAAACTCACGCGAACATGGGAAGAACATGCAAACTCCACACATGAATGCCAACTGACCCGGCCAAGGCTTGAATAGAGCGGCCTTCTTGCTGTGAGGCGACAGCACCACCTACTGCGCTACCACGTCGCCTGCACCCATATTGTAAAATATTATCGACTCAATTTATGATTATTCTGTAGTTTTTGTTTGTTTGTTTGTTTGTTTGTTTTAAAACAGAAGCACCAAATGACAAAGAATAAAAGGATTTAAGGTTGATACCTTCAAAAGCATGATGTCATTCCGATCAGAATTGAGTTTATACTCAGGATGTGGGATGTAGGATGTCACTTCAAAGGTGTCGTAAATTTCATTTCCACTCAAATCATGGGCGCCAACCCCAACCGTGATGACATCACCTCTGTTGAACAAGCATATTGTATCACTGTTGTATGATGCACTGCATGATTGTGCTCATGTGTCATTCGAAATGGATTTTAACTCAACATAGCTCACAGTTCACATTAAACAAAACTCTTACTTTTTCCAGCAATGTGCAGCAGTCAAGACAAACTGTTCAGTAATGAGGAATCCACCACAGATATGCCTGCTGTTTTTCTGAAGAGAAACCATGTAAGGTCTGGAGTGTGGTTTTGCTTCAGTGCCGTCCTCTATACCCACATGAGCTGAAAGAAACAGGTGTTAGTAAATGAAAATAGTTGTTAGTCAAATTACTCTGTACTTTAAAAACTAATATTCTTAACAAATGCCCAAATCATCATCTGTATAGTCAGTCTCACCAGTGTAGGTCAGGTCTGGCACCAGAGAAACCAGCAGGAGCAGAGAGATGATGATGATGGTCATGATGAAGACTATCAGTGAGCTCTCTATGACAAAACACTTGCATATATATATATACTGAAAATATGGGTGGAGACATTCAGATTTACAGTATTTTTTCATGGTCCCACCCTGAGTTATATTTTATAGATGAAACTAATTTGATTGGCTCTTATTACAGTATGAGTCATTTAGAAAGTCACACCATCTGACACCAAATTAAATTCTCACTAAATTCATTACAGTTCATTATAAAGGCCGTGTCATATAAGCCGCTCATGTTAGAAGTTTCTTAACACACATAAAATACTCTCAATAATAATCTCTGTATACACCATAGCCAAAAAACCCTCACATTTAATCTTAAACTAAGTTTACTAATTTTAAAGCTTGTGTGCACAGAACATTCTCAATACAATACGAAACTAAAACTTATAAATAATGATAGAAGCCCTCTTGAAATGCATATACCTTATTGATTTTCCATTTAGTTTACTGATGAGTGCGATGCAGCTTTCAGTTTTGAATTAGATTTATTATAATCTTACATTTCTATGTCTGTAGCAGAAACTTTATTTGTTTATTAAATTGACATGCATATAAAACAATGGTTCAAAAATATTTCTTTACTTCAGTGCTGCATTTTTGTTTGAATAAAAAATATGATTTTATTTTTGAATAATACAACAGTTGCAGCAAAAAAATATATATATTTCTAGCAGAAAACCCATGTTTTTAAATATTTATCAGCACAATCAGCGCAGTAAAATGGAGAGAACTGCATGTATTTATTTATTTATTTATTTATTTATTGTTATAGTTATCATTATTGGTATCATCATCAAGATTTCTTTATCTTTGGACATTTATTTTGTGGGAGCAGCTGTGCTTCTGAGTGAAAAAAAAGAGCAACAAAACAGGTAGTCCCAGCCCATGTAATTTTCTGTTACAGACCAACCCAGTCACTTTTAAAGAAAATAAAATGTATGTTGCCTTCAAAATGAAAAGGTTGGGGACCCCTGATGTAGAACATATGAAGAGAGTTGTAAACAAGGATGGTTCCTGATTTTGTCCTGTAGTAGAGCAGCAGAGTTTTGTATAAGATGCTACTACTGTATGTAATGTACTGTATGTATTCTTTTGGATACAGCTGGTGAGATGTCTGTTGCAGTAATGGCATTTTTTGTCAGCTTAGCCTTGCTTGGTTTTTAAAGATGGTAGTAGGCTGCTTTTGTAATTGCTTTATTATGGCTGTATTATGAAGTTTTGGCATATCTAAAACCAATGATAGGAATAGGAAGCCTTATTAAAGAAAATAAAGAAACAATCAGACAGTGTTTAGATTGTTATGAAAGAGAAGAGACTGGCCCATATTTAGGGGTGTTTTGAATATTCTATCATTACTGCCAAAGGTCAATTATTTGTCTTTAATTTTTTTGTACTGTACTCTGCACATTGTACTGTACTCTGCACATTAATCCTTCATTCAAATTTGACATTAAAAACACTAATCTATAAAACAGTAATGTAAACCAGGGATTCTTAACTGCTGGGCCTCAGCGATCCTGCAGGTGGGCTGCGAGCTTAAAATTAGTTCTCAATATTATGCTATAATTTTTGGATTTTATAATTAATATGCTTAAAATGACTAAAGTAATGCACTTTCTCCTGTTCTTTTAATTGATTACTTTAAACTCTGTGCAAAAACACCCTCAAGTTTGTGTCTGCAACTACACCATAGTTCACAAATTATGCATAAAGTGGACGTGAAAGTCTCTCTTTGTGTATTTTTGTGTGAACTGTTTAATATATCTGCAGTTGTATGTCAGTATGTCATTTAAGTGTTTTATAACAGATGCACCCCCATACAGGAGGGTCTAGCGAGGCTCAGTGGTTTTTCATGCATAGAATGTAAAATAAACTTGCATATGAGCTTCAGACACGCTCTGACGGACCTGTTCATTGTTCCTGTCAGCGATCTCCCAATAATATACAGCTACAAGATTGACACATTCAACAGATTTAGGGTGTTTTACTGTAATTGACATTTGTTTGCATATTTTTGGTTAGTAGATATTTAATAGTAGATATTCAGTCAGTATAGTTTAACGCAGAAGCTATATATATATGAGACGACACAGTGGCGCAGTGGGTAGCACGTTCGCCTCACAGCAAGAAGGTCGCTGGTTTGAGCCTCGGCTCAGTTGGCGTTTCTGTGTGGAGTTTGCATGTTCTCCCTGCGTTCGCGTGGGTTTCCTCCAGGTGCTCCGGTTTCCCCCACAGTCCAAAGACATCCGGTACAGGTGAATTGGGTAGGCTAAATTGTCCGTAGTGTATGAGTGTGTGTGTGAATGTTTCCCAAAGATGGGTTGCGGCTGGAAGGGCATCCGCTGTGTAAAAACTTGCTGGATAAGTTAGCGGTTCATTCTGCCGGATTAATAAAGGGACTAAGCCCTTGAATGAATATGAATAAATGAATGAATGAATGATATATATGAGCAATATCACATGAATAGCAGTACGGTATGGCTGTATATCAGCAGTGGTGGGAATTACTGTATGCCTTGGCACAAGGCCGCAGGCTGAGTGCCTTAGTGTCCCACCAGTGCTGCTACTCACGTGATATTGCGTTTATATAACAGTTCGACAGCACAATCGGGTATATAAAAAAGAAAATCAAACACAGAGAGTCTAAAAACCCTTTTTTTTTTAGGAACTGCTATCTTCCACCATTCATTTACATCTGCAGCTGACGTCAAAACAGCAGAAGCCATTACTAATTCCCCAACATCACTTTAGAGCTAGTATTTGAATGATTCTCAAGTGTAATGTATAAAGTGATGACAAAACACCAGATTTTGCTGACATTTTAAGATTATAAGGCTGAACTTGACATGAAATTCCCTCCGTCTACAGAGATATCTTCTTATAGTGATACAGTCTAGGGTATTTCGCTGTTGCAATTGGAATATCACAATAAATGACCCCAAAAAAGCAGAGCAATAACCATCAAGACTGCTGTTGTGTTTGCAATAAAGAAAAATAAGGAGGGGGTGTTCAGGGGTGAGGTCTCTGAGCCCCCGTTTACACTAATGCGTTTTCTTTTTAAAACGCATTAGTTTGCTACGGTTACGCCATCTGTCCACTCTATGCTGGAGATTTCGAGCGCCGAAAACGGAGCGTTTTGAAAAGACTGGAGAGGCCGTTTTCATTTTTAAAACGCTGTTGCTCCGTCTCAGTGTGGATGGGGAAAAACTAAGACATCTGAAAACGGAGGCGTGGCTGCAGACATTCTGATTGGGGCTGTTCCTCAATATTAAGTAGCCTAACACACACAGTTCAGTCTCGCATCCTCTCCCTGTAAGTTCAGACTTCGCAAGTTTGATATGAAAAACAGACCCCCGAGGACATGTTCAGTAAATCTTCAAAGGGAACAATGTACTTTATAACCTTATTCACAACAATACAGTTGAAGTCAGAATTATTAGGCCCCTGAATAATTAGCCCCCCTGTTTATTTTTTCCCAAAATTACTGTTTAACAGAGAGATTTTTTCAGCACATTTCTAAACTATCCTTGCTCTGTATAACATAATTTGGAAAATATTTAAAAAAGGAAAAAAATCAAAGGAGGGCTAATAATTCTGACTTCAGCTGTGTGTGTGTGTGTGTGTGTGTATTATATATATATATATATATATATATATATATATATATATATATATATATATATATATATATATATATATATAATTTTTTTTTATGATCATTTCATACAATAATTCATACAATTCATACAATAATTTTAGAGAAAATGTCAGACAGATAGGCCTTTAAAAAATAATCGTAGAAAGAAGTGGGCCCCGAAGTGAAAAAGGTTAAGACCCCCTTGTGTAAGCTTTAGTTAAAATAAATATTTGTAATTAATACTAGTAATATTTTATGCTCATTATCAGCTGAAAAGTGTCCAAACATAAAGACAAATTAGCAGATAAAATGGCACTAAAGTGCCTCATAATCTAAGCTTCATATTTAATACAAGATGATGGGAATAATAGCAAAAAATAAATAAATAAAATGACCATCCTTTTTATCCAGCTATAGGCCTTAGACAAAATGTTTAAATAGTAAATCCATTTGCACCACTTGTTGGTTCATGGGTGTGCTGGTCCGAAAAAAAAAAGGTGTGTTGAGGTGCTGACTCTATGTGCTCATAAAAAATCATAGGATATCCTTTGAAAAGCGTATAGGGGTCTTACTTTAACGTCTTGACTAAATCTTCACATTGCACAGTTAAGAAAAAATATAGTTATGAAAAGTTCTCCACAGGACCAACCAGCCCTGACTTATTTACCACACAGGAAACATGTTTATTCATTAGAGCTGAGAAAGATTGTGCTTGTGATAATGTTAACCAGTGGAAACGATCAAATGTTTGCAAGTGCGTTGGAAATATATAAGCTCTGGTATAGGTCTGTGGTTTATGCAAGATGATGAGTAAATATTGTTCCTGCTAATGCTTGGTTTGGTCTAGAAGTATTTAACATGTCAGTATATATTTTGCTGAATTCAAATAGTGATTGAAATATGAATTTCTGGCTCATACTTACTGTACAGGTGCCAAAGAGTAGTCTAGCATTTGTGTTTTGTAATGGCTGCAGAGAGAAAAGAATACTAAAGACAAGTTGTTTCTAAGGCACAGATCACCGTTTGGAAATTGCCCCGAGATTGGAGGTTTGAAAAATGCAAGATTACAACAGTATTGATCTGTTTGTTGAATGTCTAGTTTTGATCAACAACAAGATTTTTTGCACACTGAGATACTTGCTGGCCTAGAGAATTGGAATCTATGATTTCAGTTATTTCAGTTTTTTTTTTTTGATAAAAAAAACATTGCATGAGAACCAGTTGATCTAAGTAGGCCAAGAAAGGTTGGCCTAAATAACAAAGCCAAGAGGAGCATGTGCTTTACAGGGTGAATAATACCCAGGCCCAAGAATTGATCCCTGTGGTACTCCACAGTTTAATAAAACACACAACAAATATAAGAATCTTTGACGTTTCCCCATTTTCAATACAACCAAACTTTAAATCCAGGGTGTGTGTCAATTCAATTCATCTTCATTTCTAAAGCGCTTTTACA